ATCGAGCTTGCATAGCATCCCTGGCACTCCCAAACGCAATCTTGAGTCAACACATTCATTTGCTATAAGCACAGAATCCAAAATCTGTCTTCCTTTCACAAAGGCATTCTGAAACTTAGGCACTTCCTTTGGTTTACTGTCTGAACTGGGATTTATTAATAATCATGCTATCTTGTTTTCTGACAATCAAAGTGCCATACATCTTAGCAAACATCATATGTTTCATGATCGTACTAAACGTATTGATGTCAAATATCATTTTATAAGAGATGTGATTTCAAAATGAATTTTCAAAATTGGTAAAATTGCAACTTAATTTAATCCTTTTGATATGGGCATTAAAGTTGTACCTCTACATAAATTTGCTACCTGCTTGAAAATATTATATGTTGATTCTATGTGATGTGTTATAGGTTACTTAGAGCATATGAAAACAAAATAGGGAATGCTCCTGGCTACACTGATAGTTCCAAAATTTTGGCAGCAAGGTGAAGACTGTGGGATTCAAACCCTGGGCTCGAATTGGTTGTGCTACCAGAATTTATACAAAGGCGTGTTTCTATTGAATATGTTTTTTATCTTATTGTCATTCATTGAGATGATGACACGTGGAATTATCCTGATAGTTGGCTAAATATTCTGGAAGGGCCTTTATATGTCTTGGATGTTTCATTTGGACGATTGAAAAACACACCACTCTGTCTTCTGTTTTGAGATAAACACTTAGGGTTTTCTTCTTCATGATCTCTCTGCTCAAATCTCTGATTTGACGTTGTAATCTTGAGGGTTTCAATCCCTGATTGTGATATTCCGTGTGAATATCTGTGTGAACTAAGGTTCTACTGTGAGTTGTGTATTAGAGTTGTTATGTGGAGTTTCTTGGTGATTCGTCCTAGATCTGTTGATGTGTTTGAGAGATAAGTGTTCTGGTTTTATCTATTTTGTATTGATTGAACGATTTGTAACATTCGTTGCCAATTTGGGGTTATATAGTGCATCTGAGTGTTATCCAACTTGTTGGATGCTCAACAGGGAATGTAGGCGTTTGATGTGATCGCCGAACCTTCGGGACTTAGGCCGAAATAATTCTTGTGTTAATTCTTTAATTTCTGCACTTTATATTTTCTATTCTTTGGTTTAATATCGTGTGTCCTGGCCTTACAAAGCTCACTCAGAATTGTCTGCCTCGCAATCAGATTTGCAGAGATCACTAAACCACTTACACACCAAAACCCAGAAATCCCAAATCAAGAAAAGTCACGAATCTTCAAATTCAATAAAAAATAAAATGCAGGCACTTATTTTCTATGTAAAAGCACTTTTCTAAGTAGATGTTGAATAATCCCTAGTAGATTTTCACCTCCTCTTTGTCTCCATCTATTCTTCTACAGCTACCATCAGCAAATTGAAAGGTGCAGCAAATCTTACCATCACAAAACAAAAATGAAAGATTTTATTTAATTCCTTGAAGCAATTGAAAGCTTAACCAGAAACACAGAAAATGGGGTCTTCTTTCATAAACTCAGTACCAAATCAAACCGACAAAATGAAACCGACTTTCCCATAACAACACACTTGACTCAACTGCTTGAATGTGAATATATGCCTAGTTTATTTATATTTTTTCGAGATTTAAAATGAATAACAAGTTCTTTGTCAATATATGATAATTTGTGGGATGTGATGAAAAGTAAAGTTTTAAAAATTTGATATTGTAGTTGGCACATATAAAAAAGTATGGATTTAATTTATAAAAAAATAAAAAGTTTGGGCTCTGAAATTATAATTATTTCTTTTTAGTTTTGATTTTTTTACTGTTTTTAATAGCAAATATGACGGATATGATGGTAGAAAATTTTTCATACAAAAGGTTTCAAATTGGGTGGGGGGGGGTATATCGCAAAAGGAAGGGACTTTCTGATATTAATCCATTATTTCGATAACTAGAACTATCAACTTGTTGAAACTTGAAAGCCTTAGCTTGGTCAAGAATTGAAACCTAGTTCTTGTTCACAAGAAGCTAGCTTATGCTTTTAATTTGTATTATGTACAAATAAGTTAACCAAACGGCCTAACCTTTCTAATTAAGATATAAAATACTTCGTTAGAAACAAAGTTTTATTTCTTCCATTCCAACAATATTTTATCTATTAAAAATCCTAAATTAATTCTTGGTAGGAAAATAATTCACAAGCTCCCTCTTTTTCTTGCGAAATAGGATTTGGTTAGATTATAGGTGTGTCCACTTCCTACCATTTACCTAATATAAAGTAGCATACTCATGGCAAGTACAGTCGATTAATTATTATTATTGATATTTGTTTATAAGAAGTTTCTGGGACCTAAATGTACGATAATTATTTATCAATGCATTTAACAGAACATGTCCCGACACTAATCATAATTAAAGGAAAAAAGCTAATTGTACAAAAAAGATTTGACAAAAAAGTTGACAAACCCTCACATGATTGCTGGCCCCACGTGAATAAAAAATTGAAAATAAAGTGGACCCCCACATTGTGAGGGGCCGATCAGGGTGTTTGTCACCCTGACCCTGTACAAGTAGCCTCTCTCTAATTAAAAAAGAGAATGAGATCTATGAAGTGTTTATCTAATGTTTTTCGAGGTCAACGAACAACAATTTAAGGTGCAAAAAGTTCATAACTCATTCGGCTTTTAGAAAAATGAAAATATATTTCAAAGCAATATAAAAGTATGATCTATAATCAATGGCTCATATATTCTATATTTTGTCTTCCATGAGAAAAAATATTCAATATTTTGAAGTAATCAAATACTTGTTAATATGCCAAGGAGGATAATCATTTTTTTTTAAAAAATAATACAACAAATTATTTCAATGAGCAAAAGCGAGCACTTGAGTTTGTGATTAATTTTATGGATTCTCAATTTTTCATTTTTGTCGAATTTGATAGCAAAGACTCAAGTGTTACAAAAATGAGATATCGATGCCTCAATTTTCCTTTTTATTTTGTTTTTCTTCTGAGAAAATTACACTAGTCGCCATTAATTTATAGCATGAGGTTGACCTGATAGTCAATCTTTCATTATGCTCCCATTTGGGATAACTTAGAAAGTTGATAAAAATTTAAGTCAAAGCAAGGACGGACCTGCATCGATTTTTTTTATTTATTTTTTAAACAAGGGCTAATAGGGTAAAAAAAAATTATACATTAAAAGAATGTTTTACACAAATATGGCCCCTTGCCCTAAATCCACCAGTGAAATAAAATCAAAAATTAATTTTAACCATATAGAACTCACAACTTTTCAATTAAATATTTCATCAATTTTAAATTTACTAAAACACTGATTTTTAGTAGAATTCAACGATAAAAATAGATGAAATGTGTAGTTATAAAGTTAGGAAAATGTTAAGTGTACATAATAAATGTACATAATGAATGACATAATGTGATGTGGCAACCATGTCGTCGTTGATGTGAAAGTGTCAGATTTGAATTAAAGTTTGGATAATTCTTGTTGTACATCACCTTATACATCAAGGTGTCCATAATGGACACCCGACACCCTCTCATTCGAGGGAGTGCCGACCCCACCAACCCTCCCTCCAATGAAAGAGCGCCAGGTGTTCATTATGTAGACCATTATGTTAGTGGTGATGTACCACTAGCATTACCCTTAAAGTTTTTGATCAATGTCACTTGTAATTATGTAGACTATTATGTAAACAATTATGTTCTTGTAACATCACTCAGTTAGTTATGATTTGTGAGCTTATAAGATACTACTCTTTAAACATAACAAAATAATTGAATTAAGCCAAAAACAATTAATTTCTCTCTCCATGTCTTTTACCGTACACCTAAAAGAGGAAAATCGTGCTTATGTCGCACAGGGGACGGCACCATTACCCCGAGCTCTTCTCATCCTCCCAAGTCTCCTTTATTTTTCTCTGTTTCTATGTAGTATATATAGTCTCTGCTCCAATCCAACAAAAATAATTATTGAAATGTTATCTATCTACAATTTGTTAATGTATTATAGAACTGCATAATATTTATACTAGCTGCCAAAGAATTATATATGTTCTATACCTATACGTATCTATTTCATACGTAATGAATGAATCCTGAATCAACTCCACTCTGTTTATCGCTCTAGAAAAGAAAACCCATATCAATTACAGTCTGTTTTTCTGTGTTTACATATATGTATATATAGATATATACGTGCATATACATCATAGTTTGTATGGGAGCTATCTGGACTGGGATTATGGAGATTGCAGCTGCAGCAGTTATTGTGCCTTTGGGTGTTCTCTTCCTCCTCTCTGGCCTTGTTGTCAATTTCATTCAGGTTTATATTCATTTTTTATACTCATTTTTTTCTTTTTGTGGTCATCCAGAAGCTGATTATGTGAAGGTTTTTGTTTGATTCCTGCTGTTTAGTTCATTTTACGCTTCCTTTCTGTTTGTATTTTTGCTGTTAAACTGGCTTCTTGTATTGATATGTTTGAAAATATTTGGATGGAATTCTGCAGGCAGTATGTTTTGTGCTTGTAAGGCCATTCTCAAAGAACACATACCGGAGGGTAAATAAAGTGGTGGCGGAACTTTTGTGGCTGGAGCTAGTTTGGCTCGTTGATTGGTGGGCTGGTGTCAAGGTGATGTTTAAACTTAGTATCATATTTCAAAAATTTTGATAGTTTTGTTTGTTGTTATTTTGACACATTATATATAGCTCATGCCATGCCTCGTTCTAGAATTTCCTTGCTTTATAAGATAATAAGTTTTGAAATTTTTGCCATGTAAAAACGGCAATACTTCGCTTACTATAAAATTCAAAGCTAGTGCAGTTTGGATCCAGAAAAGTTGATTTAAAATTGGAAGATAATTTTTATGTAAAAGATGTTAGCTTGTCCCATTGAAGATTTGAACTCATCTAGGGGTGTATTCAAATGGGATTTTTGAAGACTTTGATTGACTTTTTTTAATTGATAATTTCTGAGAATTTCGTGGATTTTTTAAAAAAGATTTTTATATAATTAGTGGAAGTCTTTTGTAGACTTCTATAGATTTTCATTTAAAAACTTTTGTAGAATTTAAAAGACTTTTGAAATAAAATTCATATGGTTCTAATACAATATTGTAAAATTATCACATATGAAGGGGTGGTTCTCACAATTCCCTTCTCCTTCTCCTTCCCCTTCCCCACCCCATATAATAAAAAAATATTTTAAAAAAATAAAATTTTAAGACCTTAAATAAATAAATAAATAATAATAATAATAATAATAATACATATAAAAAATAAAATTAATATTCAGTATTATTAATATAATATACATTTAAAGAATAAATAAAAAAATATATATTTAAATTTAATTATAAATTAGTCTATATAAAATTTTATAATTTAATTAAAAATAGATATTTTTCACAAAAGAAAAAAAAAGTTATAAGAATACAATTTAATTTTTTTCATAAAAGAGAGAAATAAACAATAAGGGATAGATAAAAAAAAAATTTAATCATAACTCTAATATTCGTAAAAGGGAAAATGAAAGAGAAATATTAAAAAAATATATTATTATTATTATTTAAATTTTTTTTTTTT